TGGAAGTCGATATTTCACTAGGTCTTTTGGGCAAAATACCGAGAATTAATGGATTTTTTAAGATGAGAAAAATAGTGTATTTGGACTTTTTCTCTTATATTTTGAGATGAATGGAAAATGCCATATAAGCAGTTTTGTAGAGCAAGTCAAGGTCTATCGATTGGTATATGACTCAATTTGATTAGAGGAGAAATTATTTGAAAAAAATTCAAAAAACAAAAAAACTCAGTTTTGATCAATTTTTAGGTCATTTTTTAGGGTAATATGGTACGACATACCCTAACTCTCTTAAAGTAAATCTTTAGACCGTAATATTTTGGATTCATATATGGGTCAATAGTGCCTAAGTTTCTATCAGGTCAGATCCGGAATCCGTTGACCTACGTGTTTTCGCAATGTTCGATTTTTTCATGGAACGTCTCTTAATAGTGTGCACTAACAATAGTTATTTATCATCTAATTTTAGGTGGTAATGAAAAGTTTGCTTATTTTGGATTATTTGATGGTTATAATGGAAAAGCTGCTAGTTCATTATGTCGAGACTATCTACATGAAGCAATTCTCTTAGAAATGTCTAAATTATTAAAAGATATGAATAGTTCCGACGTAGAAGATGCGTTAATTAATCGTCTTTATACACGTATGATTGATCCATTACGTAATAATAGTGATATAAAAGATATTGGTGATGTATATCCTTTGGCTTATTTAAAAATGGATCATTTTCTATCGCGTGGTATGCATGAAACATCTAGTGTTCGTTGGAGTGGAACATCAGCATTGACAGCTGTAGTCGTACTAAATGATACAATCGATGAATCACTCATTGATTTAGAAGAATATAATGAAAGAAAAACTTCGATTAGTCTTGGTCAGATTCATATAGCTAATTGTGGTATAATACTTTTCATTGTATTTTTAAAGAAAAAACAATATATTGAATTTATTTAGGAAATGTTGAAGCATTAGCTATTCAACCTGATAAAGCATTTTTAATGACACAAAAACATACATTAAATAATAAATATGAACGTCAAAGAGTATTAGATGCAGGTAGAATTTTTATTTTGAAAATAAAAAAGGAGAATTTATCGATTTCAATGATTTATATCTAGGTATTAAAATAAGTCAGAATGAATTAATCGATGGTGTATTTGAAACAACACGTGGATTAGGTAATCATGGTGATAAAGATCTAAAAAAATGTGTTATTAACGCACCTTATTGTTTAACATATGACATTGATTCATCAATTGAATGTATTATATTAGCTACTGAAGGTCTTTGGCAAGCACTTGATTATGATATTGTTGTTGATATTGTTACACAAGTAATCAATACAGATTTTTTTGAATTTCAGTTATTTTTTTGTCATATAATAGTGTTTACCATCACATGAAATACCAGAATCAAAGCGTAATCATACAGCAGTTCAATCTGTACTTGAAAAATACGATCCATCAATAATCATACCTTATCTACCTAATGAAGATGAAGTTATTGCTTGTATGGATGAAATATTAGATCTATTCGAAGAAGAAAATGATAATGATGAGATAAACAAAATATATTTTTCATCGATACGTAATCATGGTGTACAATGTTCGGAAACTGAAATTCAACAAGATGTATTTGATTCTCTACCTGATAAATATCGTCTTCGTTTAGAATTATCTCAAATCATAACTGAACGACTTGTTTCAGCTGCACTTCTAGCACAATCAAAATCAAACATAAGTGTTCTTTGTCTTTTATTACCCGGTGCCGCTGTTTAATATTATTTTTTTGAAATAAAAAAGAAAAGATAATTCACAATAAAAAAAAGAAATATATAAGGCACAAAACTATAAGTCAAAGGCGAAAGAAAAATATGAATTGTTCACTTTTATTATGTTAACCAATTTAAAGTAGGCACATTATGTTGTAAGGCAAAAAATGTTTCATATTTAATATTATAATCCGGTGTTCGTTTTTCTGGTTTTTTATAACGTACTGTTGTTTTTTCAGCTAAATAATTAATCAGTTCACATTGCTCTTCGAATATATATAATTTTCTTCGAAATTTTCGACGTAAATAATCCGAACTTTTGGTATTATAAGCTTTAAGATGATAAGCCATATAGATTAATGCTGATGTTTTAATAGATAAAAATGGAAATTTTGGTTTAAAACATCCAGTTGCTGTTAAACTTTTAATAATTGCTTGAGCAATTGTTTGTTCTAAATAACCAAGACATGGTAAATTAATAAGATCAATTGATGTTTTAGGTGGCGGAAGTTTATTTGGTATAGGAATATTCCAATATTTTTCTGGTTGTCTATAGAAGAAGAGAGAAAAACGTAATTGATTATGAAAGAGAAAAAGAAATTTCTAATAAACCTCATAAATTTTTCTCGTGCTTCTTCATCTAACATAAAATATACTTTATCACGATATTCAACAGTATATTGTTGTTGACCAAGAACAAGACATTCGTATCTAAATTAAGGAAGAAAAAGAATAGAATTTTTTCACAATTTAGATGTTTACCTTTTGCCACCAGTGAAATAAGTTACTGGACAATAACTAGCAAATTCAACTGGTTTAGGAAATAAAGCTTTTGCTTCTGCTTCAGTTCGTCGATGTGGTCGACGATTTAATGGTGGTGGTAGTTTATGAGGTTCAAGTGGAGCAAAACGTTCAGGATCATCCAAAAATTGTTGAAGTTCTTTTGGTCCAGCCATACGATAATATCGTCCTATTTTGAAATTATTTATTTTAAAAAAATGATAATAAATTTAGATATAAAAGAAAACCATGTTGCTGAAATTTATTTTTACACTATACCATAAAATTCTACTTATAGATAAATTGAATTACCTCTATATTCAGCAACATAATCTGTTTTTGTAGTAGCTGACATATCAATAAGTTCATCATGTAATGTTAATGAAACAGGACAGAAATGTTCATATTCTCCTAATCGATCTAATAATTCTTTTGGTAAAATACATAGATCAGCTATGCTAGCTGCTTTATTTGATGATTTTCTTTCAATATAATTTTGAATTTGTTTTGTTACATTCGCTGTTTCTTTTGCTATTTGATCCCAAATAATCCATTTATTATTTTTTCCATTAATAATCATCCAATTTTTATGTTCTTCTGTATACCATTGACGTACAGGAGAAATTTCATGTTGATAAATAGCATATTTATATGCTATAGCTTCAGGACTATCAGGTAATGGAAATTGACGACTACGAAAAAAATGTATAAATTAAATTTTATATATGTATAATCAAAGAAGGATAATATTCAATTACCTTGGTTCACTACGATCTTTCATAGCTCGTTTTGTACATTCAGTTACATCACATTCTAATTCAAATAATTTATATGGAATAATACCTTTTTCCGTAAGTAATTCTACATGTTTTTTTGTTAAAGGAAATCCATCAAGAATAAAACTAAAACAAATCAAATAATATTAAACTATTGTTTTCTTTGGTTTAAACAGATTTCATACCCTCGTGTTTGACATTTCGCATTCATAAGTGTAATTTCCAAGCAACGAATAGCTGTTTCAGGTGATATATCACTACCTTTTAAAAGTAATGCTTGAAGATCTTTACCAAGAACTGTATGACGCTGTTTCTCTAATATATATCGAATTGCATCACCCTATACTTATAAATTTAATATACATGTTAATACTTAATTTAAACTTACTATTGATATGCGCATACAGCCTAGTTCTTCAATAAGACGTTTAACAACTATTGAAAACAAAATAAATGAAATGATCCATTTTTTTAATAGAAGAAAGAAACAAACCAGTTGTTTTGCCCGATTTGGGTGGACCAAGTAATGCTATTTTAGCTGGAACAAGAGATTTTGGTGGTGGTTGTTGTGTATAAAGCATAGGATTTTTGATAAATTCATTTCGTGCTTCTTCATCAGCTAAATAATAAACATGTTTTCGATAAACAGCAGTACGTGGTGGTTTATCAGGTCCAAATGCTGGTGGAAAACAATCACCATTATGTAACTAAATTTATTCATATAGATTCAAATCAAATAAATGAAAAAAAATGACATACAGATACAGGACAAAATTTTCCAAATTTTGAATAATGTAAATAACCATTATCGATTAATTTTTCTGCTAATTGTGGTTTTATAGGATAAACACGTTCGAATAGATTTTGACGTAATGTTATATATCGTTCGAGTTTTTTAATTATACGATTTTTAACATAACGAGGTTTATCTGCAGCATTGATAGTTGCATATGGAACAAATTCTTCTTGAAAATTTTTCTAATTAGAATAAATGAAGACTATTTAAGATTTTTAATTGAATTCCATTTAACATACTTTAACTCCTTCAATTTTCTCTTTAACATCAGTTATTTGTTGTTCAATCATTTCAGTAATACGACCTTTTGCTGTAATTATATCTTCTTCTTCTTCTGCTTCAACATCATCTTCTTCGCCCTAAATAATTCAATTATAATCGATGATGAATATAATTAGAGACTAGATAATTGGTATTAATTTCGTTAGTTAATAATATACTAATTACTAAATTCATGTTTTACAATATACCTGAAATTCTTCGGTTAATGTTTGTTCAATTTCATCATCTTCAACTGTTTCACCCTAAGAAAAAGATCAATCAATTATTTTATATTTTTGTCAATTCGTTTCTTACTGCTTCAATACGTTTTTCTCGTTCTTGAACCAATTCAGCTCGTCGTACATCCATTCTTTTCTTCTATAAAAAAAAACAAATTTTGCTAAAATAATTGCAGAAAAAATATTTATTTTTCTAACTAGATCACGATCTTTTTTTGCTTTCTTATCTGTTCGTTTATTTTTTTTTAATTGCATTTTCTTTGTCCATTGTTCTAAACGTTTTGGTAATATTCGTTTTACAAGATCTTTACTTTCGGCTTCAAGATCAATAACAAGATCTGGTATTAATTGATTTTCAATCATATAAAAAACTTCATCTTCTGCAGCTGGAAAACCTTCAACAACAATACCACGTGAACGATATGGTTCTTCAGTCCACCATGGTTTAACAATTCTATCAAGAAGTTCAGGTGTTAATGGTTCACCATCTTGTAAATAAGCTTTAATATTTTCTTCTTCAGCTGTTAATTCTTCAGTCTAAACGAAACAAAAACATTTAAAAAAAAGAATCTAAAATATAAAAAACTTCTTTACTTCATCAGCTGGTTTATCCGGTTTTGGTTCTTCTTCTTCCCTGAAAATAACATGAATTTTTCCTATTAAATATTATTTCTTTTTATTTCATTCTTACGCTTCATCATCATCTCGTGTTTCACTATATTGTGGTCCAACTTTCACTTTAGTTTTTCCAATAATTAATTCTTGTAAACGATCACGAAATTTAATATGAAATGTATTATGTTTCATAGCTAATTCACGTCCATGTAAACTTTTTCCAACAGCTTCTGGTCCAATTAAACAAATACGAATAGCTGGTAACTAATAAAATAAATTGAATTATTTCTAATTGAAAAAAAAACAAATCAAATTACTTTTGATGGTTTTGTAGCTGATAAATATTTCAATGGTGTTTGTAAAAATGCACTTCGATTATCATCATTAGCAAAACGATATGTTTTAGAATTATATGTAACAGGTAAATCTGGTTTACCAGGTACAAGAACATTCTTATCAAATAATGATACTGGATCATAAATACTTGTATCACCAAGATGTTTCTTTTTATCACGTTTAAATAAATCAACTTCTTCTTCTTCGCCTTCTTCTGCTTCCTCTTCATTTTCACCTTCTTCCGCTTCTTCTTCAGCATCACCACCGTCTTCTGTATCATCCATTTCAAGAGGAGCATATTTAAATTGTTCTTAAAGATTAATATTAAAAATAAAGTAAATAATTCTAATAAGACATACTTTCAAGTGCCTCATATGATTCTTGAACTAATTCATCTTTTGTTTTTAATTTTTCTCCATCATCTTTCATTAATTCAATGTAGACAGGTTCAATACTAAAAGCATTTGCTATTGCTGTTATTAATTCATTGATTTGTGTTATATCAGCACGAGCCTGTTGAACAAATGTATCTCGTTCAATACCAGCTGGTGGTAAAATTTCTTGATCACGTGGAACTGGTGAGATTGATGGTGGACCACGATGAGGATCAGTAGCTAAAATGATGTTTTATTTTGATAATTGTAACATATAGAAAAGATTAAATTAATACGTACTACTTGCTTTTTCTTTGTCACCTTCTTTACTCGGTGATTCATCCTCTGAAAAATAAATGTAAACATTTTGTTTAAATATCAATAAGAATTCATAAGAAACAAGAATATCATTGCTAATGAGTTTGTGTTATGACTTGATATCTGTACAGATATTCTTAATTACCTTCTAGTATTGTTTCTGGAATTTTATCAATTAAATCTTCTTTTTTTGGTTCATAATTTCGATCATCAAGTATAGCTTGTTCCATTTCTATACATAAAGAAAAGATGAAATTATGATAAGAAAAATTTCGATTTCTTATATATTATTAGACCTTTTTCATCTGTTCCATCATCTTCTTCATCTTCATCATCTTCAACCGATTCACCAGCATCAATTCTTCTTTGTCTTTCAGCTAAACGTTCTTGTCGTTCTTGTTCAGCAAGTAGTTTCGCTTCTTCTAATTGTCGTCTATATGATTATAAAAACAACGAATAAATTTGTTTTTTCTCTATTTATAATTTTAATTTACTTTCGTTCTTCTTCTTGAATACGTCTTTCAATAGCTTCACGTTCTTCACGTTCATGGATTTCTTTATCAATTTCAGCTCGATTTGCTTTATACCAACGCCTTTGCAATGCTTCTAATTGTCCATTAGTATCTTGTAAAACAAGAACATCATCTGGTTGAATATGTTTTTCACTTAAAAGTGCAAATGTTTCTTTATCATATGGAGAATTAACACATATCCAATTGCCATTTCTAAGAAAATAGAAGAAATCTTAAAAAATGAATATATGAAATAGAATGAGTATATATACAAAGGTCCATTAGGATTTTTTTCTCGTTGTTCTTGTTCAGTTTTTTGAATAGCTTGTGACATTAATTCAGCAAAAACATCTGCAGGAACATTAATAGAAGCATTACGAGCTTCTTCAATTGCTTGTTCAACAGCTTTTTTAACTTCAGGATGATCAGCTGTTATTGCTTCAACTTGTGTTTGTTCATCTTCAGGGCCTAAACCACGAAGTTCTTCTTGTGGTGCTTCATCTTGTGCTGGCAATGAAGGTGTAGGAGTAACTGGTGCTGGTGATGATCCAGCAGGTGCTTCTGAAGGTTGCTCCTGCTCCTCCTGTTGCTGCTGTTCCTGTTGTTCTTTTTCTCCATCAGGATTTGCAGGTTTTTCTGTTTGTTCAAGATCATTTGGATCAGTTATTGTCTCGCCATCTTCTATATTTGCTGGTTCACCATCCTCATTGACATCTACTTCCGGTTCTGGCTCTGGCTCTGGCTCTGGCTCGGGCTCTTCTGGTGGTGTTGGTTCTCGAGCTAATCTTTCTACAAAAGAAAATTAATAAAGACTACTATTTATATATATATAGATAGATACAAACCTGCAGCTTCAATTTCGGCTTCTTGTTTTAATCTTTCAATTGTAGCTTGTTGAACTTCTTCACGAATTTTGTCAATATATTGTTGACGAAGTTCATCGACTTTTGGTTGACAATATGCAACCATATCAATAACCTTTGTTTTTTTTATGAAATAAGTAAATAAATATTATTTTATTTTTAGTTTTTATCTTACAGTTGCATTATATTTCTTGGCAAGATCCTTTGCTAATTGTTCAACACCAGAAACTCGAGGACCATAAAGAAAAAGTTTACATGGTTGTCGGGCTTCATTAATAAATCGTCGAGGATTCTTTTGAAATTCTTTCAAAGATTCTTTATTTGAAAGACAGAATATTTTATCCATAAAACTAAAAGAAAAAAAAAATGAACTATTTTATAGATTTACACAAAAACTAGATTAACATACTGTACAGCTAGATCTTGTCTACCAGGTACACGATTTCCTTGTTTAAGAGCTACTGGATCAACACGTAACCATCGACTACGTTGCCATTTATATCTGTTAGATAGAGGATTAGTTCCAGCTAATAGGAGCATTAATTCCTCTGTATCCATATCATCAGGAGGTGGAGCTTCTTCAGCATGATTATCTTTGTCACCTCCTCCTCCTTCTTCTTCTTCTTCGCCGCCTTCTTCTACAAAGAAATATTCAATTAATCAAAGATTTTCAACCTTTCAAACGTTTAAATTTATACCCATATCATCTCCTTCATTATTCATTCCTTCTTCTGTTTCTTCTGGTGGAAAAAATCGTTGAACAAGAGCTGCTCGTCTTATAGGATAAGCACTAAGACGTTCAAGTAATTGTTGAAATGAAATTGTTGGTGACATATTTCCATCGAGTTCAATTAAATAAGAATGTGGTAAACTAGCCATATATTCTTCAAACATTCGTAATAATTGATCTTTAAATAATTTAATACTCTCCGTAACATCTGGCATCATATCTTCTGGACGAGTTACTAATCGTTCGACAATTTCTGCGGGTGTTGGTTCAAAAAATTCGTCCTAAAAAGTGAATAATATTATTTTACATATTTAATTTAGAGATATACACGACAAATTTAATCCTGCATATCTTTCTTTCTGATACATACAACTGGTTGTTCTTCTTCTTCCGTTTCTTCATCATCATCGTCATCACCATCACTATCTTCTTCTTCATCATCATCGTCTGATGGTTTATCAGCCTAAGAAAAACAAAAGCAAGAAATTTATTGTTTCATTATGATATATATAACAAAACTGTACAACTGAACAACAAAATTTATAATCAATGTCTTACTTTTAAATGTTCTTTTTTCTTTTTCTCTTTCTTTTTTTTAAGAAACTTTATTTATAAATCAATAATAAATTCAAATAAAACTTACTGGCTTTTCAACAGGTGTAGGTGCATATTGTTCTTTAATATACAATGCACCAGTCAGAGGATCAATTTTTTCACCTTCACGTCTATTTATTAAGTCACTATCAGGTATACGAATATTAATAACATAATCCGGTGGTAATGGCCAATTCTTCATAGATTCCATTTGATCACGTAATTTCATTATATTTTCATTCATTACTGGAAATCCATCCAAAATATAACCTTTACAAAATCAAATATGAAAAACAAAGAGATTCATATATTTTTCTACAAACCATGATGTGCAACTTCAGGTGAACGCATTTTAATATCTAACATTCGTGAAATCATTTGATCAGGTACTGCTTCACCGCGAATAAGTAAATCACGTGCATGTACACCAAGTTCAGTTTTTTGTTTTATATTCGATGTAATAAGATCAGCAACTAAAAATAAAAGAATATTTTTTTTTCATAATGAAAAGTATATAATTTACTGTTAATAAGTTCGGCATGCCAATCATCAGCTAATTTTCTTGCTAAAGTTGTTTTACCAACACCGGGTTTACCAAGAACAAGAAAACATGTTGGTTTTGATTCCAGGAACTTTTTATCTGCCTGAAAAAGAAATAATATGATAGATAAATTTGTACTATTCTAACTGTAGTTGCAGTTAGGAAATAATTTGCATTATCTGTTAATATTTTACAAAACTATGCTAGGTAGAGCGATTATATTTCGATTAGAATAAGAATACAATGTAATCAGTTAATTACATGTTGCTATCATTGCAGTATGGTAAAGAAATAACGATCTACACGAAAGACAATAATTCGAAGAATCTCGAGCCAACATCTATAATTTATACTTCCGCTCAGTTAGTAAACATCTGTTGCTAAGTACATTGTCATTCTTATTTTAATTGGATAAGTATCAACTCTTACTTCTTCTGTGTCATAAGGATCAATTTGATAGCTTATAGTTTGTTCATCTTTTTCTAAATTTTCATCTTTTGAATTGGTTGTCTGCTAAAAATAGAAATAGATATGTCTTCTGTTTATCATTGTTATTTCTATATGATAATAACCTTTGTCTGATGTTTTGATGGATCACCATATTGAAAAGATGATTCTTGACGAGAAGAAAAATTCTCTAGCGTAGCACGAGGATCACTAATAGCCGATTCTTGATGATCGGTCATTGCAATCAGTAAGGCACTTGAATAATATCAAAAATGAATAAACCAAACACGACTAACCATCCTACATGTTTGTTACTTAGAAACTACCTTTCTTCTATTCATAGATGTCGCTTTAATTTTCATAATAAAAATAGTTTGAAAGAGTTTTTTTCTTTTTTATTAAACTAAAATAGATTATTTTTTTCATTAGATTTATTCTAAAAATACAAAAATAAAATTCGTCAATCAAAATTCAATAAAGCGTTCTTTGTCATTTCATTATGGCTATTAAATCAACAATAATAACAAACAACAACAATAACAATAATATTCAAAAAGAAAGATTTCATTTTTTTTCAGATGTTTGTTTTATTAATTTGTTTTATTGAATTTATTTGTATATGATTATTAAATTCTTACATAGTTCGTATCTCGAACTA